GCAGCGCCCCAAACCCCAGATCAGCCCTGCCGTGAGCACGACCCGGGGCAGCGCCCCAATCCCCGGATCGGCCCTGCTGTGTGCGTGACCTGGGGAGGTGGGGCAGGCACCCAGGGATCGGTCCTGCCATCTGCCACCCGGGGAGCAGGACTAAGCCAGCAGGTGGTTATCTCCCAAGGGGTCCCAGACTGTGAGAGGGCACAAGTGGGGCTGAGGGACACCCCCCCCACCCCTCCTCCGCCAGTGCACAAATTTTTGTGCACCGGGCCTCTAGTTAAGATATAAACATCAAGGATCTTTTTCACCAAAGATTTCTGAGAAGCAATGAAAAGTTTTAAAACAAGTATTTACACATTTCAGTGGCTAAATATATACACAAATGTTTGTAAAAGTAAATGGATAATTTTTGTTTTAATGACACCAAATTCCATGAATAACTACATTATTCAGTATGTAGGCTTGCAACAAACTGTCCCTTTCTGCTCTAACGGCACCATTTAGTTCATCACTCGTCCTAAATACTAGAATGGCTTAACTGTTTCTCCTGCCACGGCCTCTTGATTTTCCTTCTTCTTGGCCCATCCTATTCCAATGGGTTATTGCCCCATAACACTGTTTTCCTCCTATCGTCCCCTCATTCAAAAGCCTCAAAGAGCTCCTGAGTGCCTGTAGTCCAGTCCCTCAGGTTGGCAGGCAGGGCAAGCTAACCTACGGACCACTCAGTACACATGGAGCCATTACAAGACGCGGCTGTGCTCAGCACTATGCTAGTATATGGACGTCTCATGCTGAAATGAGCTTTTGTAACTCCCAGCTCCAAGCTCAACGCCTTTTCCTCTCCTCATTCCAAATCCTACATATGGCCTGGAGACCCCTTTCCCAGCTTTAGCCTATTTTATCTTTTCAGAAATCTTTCCGTAAATATTTACTGAATTTACACATTAGTAGCATTCAGTGTGACAGAATATTAATATTATCCCGCATTCCCATTTCTTTGTTTTGTGTCTGTTTTAAACTCCCTGGAAGGCAGTAAGTTCCGTAAGGGCCATGTTTTCCACGTGGTGTGCTGCATATGTAAATTTCTTCCTCGTTTTACATTTTTAATAGTTTGCAGTCTGTTGCAGGGCTATGTTCTGTTTGGATGAATGCACGCAGCGAATGAAATGTACCAGGCAACTTTTAAACTTTGTTCACACAAGGTCAATTCTCCATGTTTTGAAGGGCATCTAAATTCAGAGACACGGGGCCATGAACTGCAAAGGTGCCCTGCAGCATGGAGAAGTGACTTATTTTTATAGTGTGGCTCTTATACAATACCAGAAATTGAATTAATTTCTAGTTGGAAAGATATTTGTTACTACAATGAAAGCTGCAATCGTTATATATACAACTGTATACCAAACTAATGCAGTATCAACAACAAAAAATATAGTAATTCACAGGCATGCTACTTTCCAATATTGAACAGAAACATGTGGTTAAAAAATACTTATTCTTAAGGGGAGATAAAGATTTTTATGGACCTGGTTCTTTCTAATTTAACGAGATCTATACATTATCTAACAGACTTGAGTTCAAAATAGCTAGGTAATGGTAATCTTATGTCCTAAAGTAAAAGTTATTAATATGTAAAGAAAAATGATATGTACTACATATAAGTTTATACATATTAGGTAAGGAACCCCTGGAACTCTAGAAAAATTTCCTGAGGAAATGAAAAACAACTTGGTAAAATGTAAATCTTTAAATGGACACATTCAAGCTGAAGTTGAGGAAGCAGAACTACTGGGTGTGTACGGGTGTCAGAGAGTGAGAGAGATAAGGGAGGGCAGTAAAAAAACAAAGGAGAAAGGAGAGTTCATTCTTATATAAAAGGAAGAGAAGTTAAAGAAATGAGAAGAAAAAAATCAGAAGAGGCTATTTCTGATAAGATGTAGAAAGAACACAACAGCAGCGCTGTTTCTAAGCCATACCTTATGATCTTTAGGTAGTTTCCAAATGGGTCTCTACCTGGATCCAGCCAGGTGGGAATTTTAGACCCGAGCCTCTGAGGCTCCACCCATCTGCCCGTGGAGCCTGCCTGTGGCAAACCTTCACCCTTTCGTCACAAGGCCCTGGCCTCCTGCCACAGTGACAGCGTGCACGTGTCCCTGGGACTCTGAGGGAATGCGCAGAGGGAGGTGGGACTATCCAAGCTCTACAGCTTCTACCTCAAAGCTCGAGGATCAGAGAGATCACACAGATACGGACGGTGCTCCATTCTCAAGCTATATTTAAGCTCATCATGTTTGTATGATTATGTGGAAACCTGATAATATTTTAACCATTAAAAAATGAACAGCAAGCAGTTGACAGAATCTTTATTGTAAACAGAGGTCATTAATAGTTGTTACAAACTGAACTGAAACTCAAAGTTAGCAATCTGAATCAGATTTATAGGTTTCCTTGTTTGGCATAACTTGTCATCTTTGCACCTTGCAGCACTTTTAAAAAGATTGCTAAAATTATCAGCATATCAATGGTCTCCTTTATGTCAAGTTTAGAACCAGAACATTCTTACCCTCTTAAGAAAACTCATTCAAAACTAGGTAGAACTTCCACCTTTTATCATCAAAGCTATTACACAAATTTTTTTTACAACGCAAAAGAATACAAATAAGTATATTTTAAATATTACAGACCATATATGGGCAGTCCCCACCTTGTGTCGTTTTACATATTCCCACCTGCTGTAAAGTATCTTTCTTTTATTTCATGTGTCCCCCTGACCACTGCAATCCACTCTGAAGTACTGCATTAGCCACCTCCCCCAGCCTGCTGCTAGTCACAGCAGTGCTCAGCGTAGGGGAGGAACAGCTGGTAGAAAGAGGAACGTTAACATTTCAGTTTATAGAAAAATACCATCTGGTGGTGAGAATGAGTAGCTGAAGCTTTACTGTTATGCAAAATAGGTCACAGGTAAAAAGGATGGTTTGTTCTTGATCTGCTCTCCAGTGAATTTTCCACTCTACAGTTTAGTGAAAAGGCAAGGACCACCTTCAAAGTGTCCTCAAATATTATACCTGTTACCTTAACAATCAGTTCTATAAAACATCAAAATATCCTCTATTGTCAAAAGCACTTAATGGAGATGTATCAAAAACAGAAGTATTTCTCAACGAGGAGCAAAAATAGATATTTCATGAATTATATTCAATAAATAAAACATTGTTAAGATAGTGTTTTGTAGTTTTTGTAAAAATATTTGAAGAAATATTCAAAACAAATCTAAATAGAGCAGACAAGTGATGGATGTAAAATTTAAAAATATACTGAGCATCTGAATGGACATTTCAATGATTTTTTCTTGAATATCACTCAGATGTTAATTGGTACTGAATATATTAAAATAGGTTCTGAATATCACTGCAACTATAATACTCAGAGGTCATAAATTTCATTCTCTTTTTTATTCATTTAAAAACTGCACTCAGTACTGTATAGCAAGTCAGTTTCTATTTTAGTATACTTCAGTACACTATTCATAATCTCTAAGGCATTTGGTTGTTCTATCAGAGAGAACTGTAACATGCTGAATGCAA